AAAAGTATTATGTTGATCTAAAGAGAAAAGTGATTGAATATCAAGTGGGAGATAAGGTATTTCTGAAAGTATCGCTTTGGAAGAAAGTATTGAGGTTTGGGCGTAAAGGAAAGCTGAGTCCAAGATTTATTGAACCTTTTGAGATTTTAAAAATAATTGGACCAGTAGCTTATAAATTAGCTTTGCCTCCCGATATGGACAAGATCCATAATGTTTTTCTCGTGTCGATGCTCAGGAAGTACTGATCATATCCATCATATATTATCACACCAGAGGAAATAAAGATCAGATCAGATTTGACTTAAGAAGAAGAACCAGTGCGGATCTTGGCTCGAGAAATCAAAGAACTACATAACAAAAGATTCCTCTAGTTAAAGTGCTTTGGCAAAATCATAGTCGAATAAGCTACTTGGGAAAGAGAGGAGGACATGAGGATGCAATATCCACACCTCTTCGTATCAGGTACATCTTAAAATTTGAGGATAATTTTTTCTTAATGGGGAGAGAATTGTAATACCACAAATATCATGTCAGTGACTATAATGAAAGGATTTAAATTTTGGTGGGTTAATTTTAATAAATTAAAAAGTACAAGGATTTATTTAATAAATTTTGTTTAAGACCTATTATTAAGAATGGAAGAATGGATGGGCATTATGGTCTTTTAGAAGGAAATGAATTTAATATTCATTCTTTTAGAGATATTTATTAAGGGTTAAAAAGGGGAAATGATAAGCTGAAAACCTAGTTCTCTATTATTCTTCTTCTTGTCCCCGCACCCTCTATAGAAAAGGTAAGATTTCTTCGAGTTGGTTTTTCCTTTCACTTTTTGGGTTCGTTTTGAAGCCTTAAGTGATATACAAGCTTAAGGAAAGCTTAAGAGTGAATAAAACTACAAGATTAGAGATTTATCAGCGATTTAATAAAATGGGTTTTTAAGTGATTTGATGAAATATGGTTAGTTATTGGAGTTTAAAAGCATTTTTTACTTGTCAAAGATGTAAATAAGAGATTTGGATTCTTAGAAGTGATTGAAAACATCTTTAAAAAATTTGGGTGATTCTTAGTTTTGAGTGTTCTTTGGAGATTTTGGATGTTATAAGGAGATTTATGAATGTAAGTTAGTTTAGACAATTGATAATGAGTTTAATAGTATGGTTGGAGATAAGAGTAAGAGATTTAGGTGAAAATTATGTTGGGATTTTCAGAAGCTCAAATCGACAACCGGAACGGTTTGCAAAGAGGGGTCAGAATGGTTTTGTATTTAGGGAGTAAGGAGATTGAAAGATAGAAAATTGCACAGCGATTTAGAGTGGGTCGACTTTCTCAACCAAAGTCTACATCCACTACCTTAGCTCCTCACCAAGGATTTTCCAACAAATTCACTAATTTGTTCTTTCTTTTGAGGAAAAAGAGATAACCTTACAACTCCCTAGTTTTTTCGGGCTAAACTAGAACCTTTCTCTAGCTTTTACATGGGATAAGCTAGAACCTTTCCCCTTTACAAAAGGATAAAAGATGTAAACAAGAAAACCTATCTAAGGTAGGTGTTTACAAGATTGAGCTCACAAGAACAAAATATTTACAAGAGAAAGATGAAATAAGATTGAAAAACTCTTCTCTTGTGTTTGATTGCTTATATAGTTGTTCTCTTACTTCTTCAAGTGTCCGTAGCTTGTATTTATAGCTTGGAATGTGTTTGATGTCATATATAACCGTTGGGGATGTTTTGGAGCCGTTTGGGGATGATTTTTCTACTCAAAAAGGCTGCCCATAACATGGTGCATCGGTGCACTATCAAGGTGCATCGATACCCCTTCATTAAATTCAAATAAACTAGCTGTTACTAGCTGTTGCAGCCTTGGTGCATGGATGCACAGCAGGATGCATCGATGCACATCAGGATGCATCGATGCACAGTAGGATGCATCGATGCACTAATTGCATTCGAAATGGACTGCATGGATGCACTACATGGTGCATCGATGCACTAGTGGCAGGTGCATGGATGCACTTTGACACCCTTTAGCATTTTTGCTCAAATCCGAAGTTAATGGACTTTGAATTATTTTTGAAACCTTTTTAAAACCTTGAATAAATTCAATTCAAGTCCAAAAACAGTTTTCCTTTAAATTTGTTATATCGAAACATAATTCAACAAATTGTGTAAAATTCGAAGTAAAAGAGGTAAAATATGGGTAAGGGTATCGGTACCGGAAGAACAATATTGATACTATAAGGTTAAATTGGAGGATTCAGATGAACAGTATCGATACCGATTTAAGGAAGTGTCGATATTTAGGTGTAGGTATCAATACTAAGAGGAAGGTATCGATACCATAATCAAAAATGAAATTCCAGAATGCTATAATGGTATCGATACCGAAGTGGGTATCGGTACCCTAGAAGAGAAGTATCGATACTGTAGGAGGATGGGTGTTAAGTTAAGATGCATTTTATTTGAATTAAAAAATTATAGTACTTTTGAGTATTATTACTTTGGATAAATGTTAAAAAGTATACTAACATTTGTATTATATGTGTGATTATGGATGCTTGTGTAGATCGTAATCAAACTCCTGAGTCAAGCAAATAGAAAGGCAAGGATAAAGTCACAGAATAGTCGGACTACATTAGGGCATAATAGTGAGGGAAACCAGGTGAGTGCATTTATTATGTACTTATATGTTATGAGGATGACTTGCGATGAGTCAACCTCGAATGTTTTTATAAAAGCATATTTTATCGTATTTTGGCATATTTTCATAAAGTTTATGAAAATGATTTTACGAATAATTTTAGAGTATGAACTTCTCTAAAATAGATGGATGAACTTTTATATTGTTTAATAGCTATCGATGTTTCAGAATAAATGTTTAATCTACGAATTTGATCTTAAAAGCCTATTGTATATACATTGAGAGTCATATGTGCATTTTGTTTAATGCATATGTTGCATTTTTGTATCAATACTATGTGTATTATCGGCACTATGTGTGCAACCCATGGAATTCATAATGAGTTTGTGAATTTTCATATCGGCACTTAGGTGCAATTCATGTACCATGCATTCTCATTCAACATACATTGGGAAAATAAAAGAATAATTTAGAAAAAAAAAAATACTGATTGATAAGTATATTGGGCATACTAAATATTGTTTTGCAGGTTAGGTTAAAGAAACTTGGTTTACCAAGCCAGCTTTATGTATTATTATGATTTATACGATTTAATTCGTATTTTGATGTTTTATGATATACTTATATTTTGACTTCACCTCATTATTATTATGCCTCACTAAGTGAATACTTAGTGTGTATTGGTTTCACGCGTAAGTATTAGTACGAGTGGAGTAAGGAGTGCAACTGACATCGTCAATCAAAGGTTGCCTCATCAGTAACTGTATGACAACTATGTCTACTTTTGATATTATTAGATGGCATGTAATAGACTTATGATAACGCTTTGGAAAGTATTTGACTTATGATGATTGTAATATTTAATATGTTAGAATTTTAAGTCTATTTTATATACTATAAGTTAATGAACGTTTTATTATTATTATTACATTAAAATGTTTTATGTATAGAAACAAAAAAAATTTGGTTTTCAAAAGAGAAAATGTTTTTAAAAGTCATGTGACATCTGTGACTTGTGTACGGAAACGTATAAGGGAAATGGGTGTTACAAAGTTAGCCACTTTAAGTCATTTTTTCTTTTCTTTGTTTTACCATACTTTAAACTCAAAACATTTGATTTTATTTCTCTTTTGTTACCTTTTTTTTTAGACAAGAGAACAAGTTACACGAAAAAAAAAGGAAAATGTGCTAAAAAAAGAAGAAAATAGTTCGAATAAAAAAAGAAAAATGTGAAGAAAAAAAGTTGAAGTTTGTTCTTTGGATGTTGAAATTGTTTAGTGATTGAATTAGTTTTGTTTGATATTATCTTGTGGACTTGATTTGATCTTATGTACATCTCTTGTCTTGATTATGAGCCTACATTTTTCATTATCGTTGTCGTCATCTCAATCTCCTAAATCCCTAGATTCTTCGGTATCCTATATCCAAATACTTAGGGTCCTTTTGGTTCTAGAAAATATTTTCTATTTTCTATTTTTGTTTTTATTTCTAGAAAATATTTTCTTTTTTAGTTTTTTAAAAATTAGAAAACATGTTTGGTTAAGAAATTTTAGTATAATGAAAACCTGAATTCAAAAATAAAAACAATGAAAATATATCTGGTGCCTATTTTTTAAATAGAGATAAATAAATAGTTATTAAATAATTAAAGTAAAATATAGTTATTAAAAAAATTCATTACAAAAATTTAACATTGTGACAAGTGTCGAGATTATCAAATAAATAAATGCTCATAATAAAAGTAGTATAGAGAAGCTGAGGTCGATCCATAGGGACTAAAGAAGTCTAAATAATTTGCTTGTTCCAACCAATTCTGCTTCCAAACTTCAAGCAAAAACAATCTTTAAATCAACGTGCATTTTTTTATTTAAAGATGTCGTAACTTTTAAGGGGATGTTCGATTGTCACTCATAATTTCCAAAAAATCAAAAAATAAAATCTGAAGGTATGAAGATCAAGACTCAATTCTTATTATTAGAATTAAATTTCGCAAAAGCCTTTGGCTAAGTGAAAGCTTAGCTAAGCATGGGATCATGGATCAAGACTCAATTCTCATGTTTAACCATTTTTAAATATTGCTCTCAATAAAAAAGAGAAAGAAAAGAAAACATTGCCTTCAACTCATGAGCAATGTTTCCACATGCCAACTAGTTAAAACAGAGTCAATGAATCTAAAAGTCAAAAAAACTCGTAGTCAAGTACAAGGGCCATTCCAATCCAATCTTATTATTTTAAATTAGTAATAATAATATCCCTTCAAATTCTTAAGAAGGCCTTTTGACTTTTCCCGGAAGCATTTATTATTATTAAAGAAATGGGGTTTTCTATATAAGACCAATTTCCCCAGGCATTGTGTTCATCGTGAAGGAGAAGAATCAATGGCAGGTGGAGGTCTTCTTCTGGGTTTAATTGTTGTTTTGGTTTGTTTTTCGCAGACATGTTCTGCGATCATCACTTTCTCTTCGCTGCAAAGAACACTTGTTATCACTGCTTCTCATCCTCAACGACGTAAGTTAATCAAATTTTGTTTCCATTTCTGTTCATCTGATTCTGTATTGAGTTGTGGATTATCCATTAGGAAAAAAGTGAAAATCTTTTGATTAATCTTACTATGTGAATTTTTTTTTTGTTCCGATTTGTCGTTAAAAAATTTACTTTTTTCATTAGATATCTTGGAGTGCAGGATGAAGATGGGGTTGAGTTAGGTTTAAGTATTAATTTGATGGGTAAATTGTTTATTTAGTCACCAACTATCACTTGATTCTGTTTCAGTCACTTAATTTAAAAATTAACATTGATGTTGATGCATTATCAAGTCATCATTATAAAAGGGTAGAAATTTCAAGTTAGAGTGATCAAAAACTTATCAAAATATAATGTTAGATATGATTTTGAAAAAAATAACTAAGTGACAAATGAAATAAATATGATAGTTGAGTGAATAAATACATAGTTCACTCCAACTTAATTTCTTATATATTTATCTACGTCTGAATCCTATTAAAACACCAACTCCAAATTTTATATTTGAAATAAATCTGTGTAGAAAAATCATCAGTCTTCTTTCAAAAATATGTTTTAGTTAATCTTTAATAACTTTTTATTTCTAATGCCCAAATAAAGTAATATATTTTTATATTTTCGTATCATATAAATTAAATAATATATTACATTATTGAACATTAGAGATGTACAAACTTTGAAACTCGGATCAAAGGGTGTTATATTTTCTTAATATATATTTTTCAAAAAAATTAATTAGCCATATTTAATTTATTGATTGGTTAATTAAGATACGATAACATCAAGATTTAAACCTCTTATCCAATTCAACTTTAAATTATTCGGAAAATTGAATGTGACTTTGAAGGTGTTTAATTGTGCAGTTTTGAAAGCCGGGGAAGACAAAATCACAGTGACATGGGGGCTGAACCAAAGTTTCTCAGCAGATTCAGCCTACAAAACCATCAAGGTCCAGTTATGCTACGCACCAATTAGCCAAGTGGACCGAGCTTGGAGGAAAACCGTCGACAATCTTTCCAAAGACAAAACATGCCAATTCAAGATCGTAAAAACACCCTACACCACCACCACCCAAACTTTTGAATGGAAAATTGAGCGAGAAGTTCCGACCGCCACCTACTTCGTCCGAGCCTATGCATTGGATGCTGACAACCAACAAGTGGCTTACGGTCAAACTACCGATGCCAAGAAAACTACCAACCTCTTCGAAATCCAGGCCATCACGGGACGCCATGTCTCGCTTGATATTGCATCCGTTTGCTTCAGCGTTTTCTCAATTGTTGCCTTGATGGGCTTCTTTTTTGCCGAGAAAAGAAAGGGAAGAAAGGCTCAACAGTAGTTGATGCAAATATGCACAAAGCAAATCAATCCTTTAGATGTGTAGTTTGTACGTTTCATGTTTGAGACTGTTTGTGTCATTATAAGCTTTGAAAACTTACCAAGAACTTCATCTGCTGTTATTTGGATTTAAACGTGAATGTCCATTTGGATTATGTTTAAATTATTCAGAGATTATATCAATACATTCATGTTTGGATACGCATCATGTTATACATGTTTGATGGTTCTTCATGTTGTTTTGACTGTACTGATTGTTTATTTTATTTACAACATCCACTGGCAGCTTTGAAAACAATGGTGAAAACTACACGATGGTAATTTCAGAATCATTGCTTTGATTAAGACTGATTTCAATTGACCTTATATGTTACTGTTCTTTTATTTCCCTTTGTTGCGTTTGTGTTTGCAATATCAAATTTCATGTCATAAATAAAGGAACTAATGTAATGATAGAATAATCGTTTGAGATTTTAGGGTTATTATTATGTCACAATCAATTAGTTAAAGTCATATTCAGAGTGCCATTGATTTTTTTCAATAAAAATGATAAATTTAGAAAATATGAATAATCATATGACAATTTTATAACTTTTAATAGTCATGAGACTTAATAAAGTAATATCTAAAATTAAGAGATAATTCTATAACTTTTAATAATCAGAGAACTCAACAAAACAATGTTATATAATCGAATAAACATTGTGTACTTTACCCTACTCAATTTAATCATTCCTTGTTAAAACCCAATCCCAAGCATCCACTCGGATGATGCTCACTTTATTAAAAGTTATTTTTTTAGTTAGATATTTTTTTATACTAATAAGAAGTATTTGACTAATTATTAATGTATGAATCAATTATCTCAGTGATAAAAGAATTTTTCTTATTCCTCGAGGGTCTGGGTTCGAGCACCAGAAATATTAGAGGTATAAGCATTTAATCTCAAATGATTGAGAATGTTCTTAGAACAGATATCGCCTTGTACTTACCCAGATTAATAAAAAATTAATTATTAATGTATAATGATATAAATCAGCAATATATCAAATATAATTATAGATTGTATATAATCTAAGATTGCAATTATGTATCTATGATTTTATTTTCTTATTAAACTTACAAAACTTAGGGTATGTTTGTTTTACGAAAAATAAATTTCAAAAAATAACTTATGTAAAACGAATTATATTTTCTTACCATTATTTTACGGTGTTTGGCTGATGTGTAAATCATTATTTTATTTTATTGGTTGATGAAATTTTTAGAAATTATTTATTATAAATATCAAATAAAATAAATAATATTACTTATTAGAAAAATAATATTATTATTTTAAAATATTAGATTAATTTATTTAACATTATATGTAATACCCATATCTCGTATATCTTTCCGTACACGAAATACAGATGTCACATAACTTTTAATAAGATTCTTTTTTTTAAAAACCCGTAAAAAAATTTTCCAGATTTTCTTAAAACATAACATTTTGATAAAAAAAACAAAGCATTAATTGAAATATGATAAGAAATTATATTTAAATACAATTCAGAGCATTTTTCATACTTTAATTACATGCCACTAAATTTTTCCAAAACAAACCAGATTGCCCTACCGTTACTGACGAGTCAACCTTTAATTGATGAAAGTTGTTGCACTCCTTACGCAATTAATTATTATCTTTACCTACGCGTGAAATAAACATACGTTAAGTATTTACTTAGTGAGACATAATAATGCAAGGATATTACAATTATACGACAGTATATTATGAATATTGAATGAAAGATTTAATTTCATCATTCATAAGGACCATTCAAGCCCTTCTCAGTTAAACCATAATTCTTTTATACCATCATGGAAATTATTTCTAGTATATCAATCATACTTATCCTTCTATATGTTTTCCCTTTTTTTCTTTATTTTCTCTATGTATAATAAATGTGAAAGTACTATACATGTATTACATCAATGTGCAATTGATCATGTATCTTTATAATCATTATGATGGTACCTTGAATATTGTTAATACACCGTTTTGTATTTTCATTTAGGTATGCTTTCATGCCTATTATGATCCGTTTACGTTTTTCCTTTATAACATTCATACTAGTTATGCAATGTTGAACATTATATATATATATATATATATATCATCCCTTCATATCACTTATGCAACATTCATATCACAATACATTAAAATTCCTTTATTCTTTTACCCAAAGGTATTTAGCCTTTCATCTAACTTGCATATTTGACACTTTTCTGTCAAATGTACAACTAATTCATTATTCTTTTATTCAACAGTGTTTAAACGTTCATCTTTTGGTCAACAGTGTTTAACTGTTCATCTAAGTGGCATAATTGACACCTTTCTGTCAAATGCACAGCTAGGTCATTATTCTTTTAATCAACGGTACTTAACCGTTCATCCAACTGGCATAATTGACACCTTTTTGTCAAATGCACAACTAGGCCATTATTCTTTTACTCAACGGTACTTAACCGTTCATCTAACTGGCATAATTGACACCTTTCTGTCAAATGTACAGTTAGGCCTTAAAGACACTTAGCCTTTCATCTAACTGGCATAAATGATTCCTTTCTGTCAAATGCATAGTTCGGCCTCAAAGGCACTTAGCCTTTCATCTAACTAGCATAAATGATACCTTTCTGTCAAATGCATAGTTCGGCCTCAAAGGCACTTAGCCTTTCATCTAACTGGCATAAATGACACCTTTCTGTCAAATGTAAAGTTACGCCTCAAAGGCACTTAGCCTTTCATCCAACTGGCATAAATGACACCTTTCTATCAAATGCACAGTTAGGCTTCAAAGGCACTTAGCCTTTCATCTAACTGACATAAATGACACTTTTCTGTCAAATGCATAGTTAGGCCTATTAATCTTTTATTTTAACACAGTCCCTACTATAATAATCATTCATAATATCAATTAACCCTTTCAATCATTACACATTCTATGATTAACGTTGCTAGTGATATTACCATCATTTCTCAACCATTACTAAAACATGTGTGGTTCGCATACTCATTACCAATATAAAAATCCACTTCTTTATTATAAATTTCTTATGTTCATACACATATATTTCCTATATGGAAATTCATACACTTAGTATGAGTTTCTTATCTTTTAGCACACAAAGTGCCCCATACGGAAATTCATACACTTAGTATGAATTTCTTAACATTTTAGCACACGAAGTGCCCTATACGGAAATTCATACACTTATTATGAATTTCTTAACATTTTAGCACACGAAGTGCCATTTGATAATCACCATACATACATCAATTATTCATACCACTATGACTATTATAGCATATACGTAAATAATTAAATGCACTCACCTGGATTGTCTCGCTATTATTTCCAAATTGCAAAGTTGATCACTCCGGTACTTGGTTCCGATCTACTCAAGCATTCATTAAAACATAAACCATACCCAATGTTAGTATATTCTTTAATCTTGTACTTTAAGAATATTCAAAATATCATTATCTCAATTTCCATAACAATTTCAACCTAATTGGTCGTCAATAGTATCAATACTACTACCCTAGTACCGATACTTCTATACTATGATATTGATCCCCCATTACGGTATCGATACCCCATTACGGTATCGATACCAATTTTAGGTTTGAAGTTGCTTGGTATCGATATCCTTACCATGGTATCGATACTACCTCGTCGATATCGATACTGATTAAATCAGCATCGATACTACTCAGCTAATTCATCCCATTTTAGCCTATAGTATTGGTACTATTCTATCAGTATCGATACATTTTCCCAGAAAATTCCAGTTTTCAGCCCGATTTTTCACCTAAATTGGGTCAAATTCTTTATATTAACACCTTACACATACTATGAAACTCTTCTTTAACTATCCATACTAATTTTCCTTCCTTTTGTTTCTTAAAACATCTAACATCTTCCAAGAACATTAAATTATAAGAATCACACCACTTTTCCTAATGTGATTTTAATCCAATCAAATGCTTCTAATCTCTCATTTACCTCTATGACAAGTAAAAACTACCATAAAACATCCATAAACCCTCTATTTTAACATATCACTTAAAAACCCATTTTCTTCAATCTCTATTATCTCATCCATAACTTAGTTTTAATCCTATTTAATCCTTCCTTAAGCTTCTATTATACTCGATGCTTCAAAAACCAACCAAAAACGAAGGAATAAACTAGTAATTTGAAAACTCACCTTTAGATATGGAGGAGGGCTTTTCCACGGGAAGGAGAAGAAAAAGAGGGATGGCTTTTATGACTTAGCTTTCCCTTTCCCCTTTCCCTTTCCTTTAATACTATACCAAAGAAAAATGAATTTTAAAATCATTTTCCTCTAAAAGACCAGAATGTCCTATATATTCATCATTGTTACTAATTGGTCTTAAACACTATTCCAAATCATTTCTTATCTTTTATCAATTATTCAAATAGATCCTCAAATTCTAAACCTTTTCAATAAGGCCACTGACCTGATATTTGAGGTATTACATTATATGTCAATATTATTATTAAAATATTATGTCTGCAATTTTATAAATAAAAATATTATGATTATTATATTTTAATATATTATTAATTACTTCATAAAATAATAATAATATTATTATAACATTAAAAATTATAAATTAAAATAAAATTATTATATTATATTTTAAAAATTAATAATAAATATAATTTAAATGTTCAACAATTAATAATATTATTTTTATGAAATTAATAAATAATATGAAATTATCAATAATTTATTATATATTATTAAAAATAAAATATAACATTATATACTATAATAATATAAATTTATATACTATTATAACATTAAAATGTATCATATTATATTATTAAATTATCAATAAATATAATTTAATAATTAATGTTTCTATTAAAATGATACTAAAATAATATATTATTATTAAATATATAAAATAATATTATCTTGAGTATTTATGCT